GAGATACCTTATTCTGGAGCAGTGGATTTGCAATTGTTGAAATAATTTCTCTCTAAATTGGGAGAATCAGTCAGCGTCAGGTCAAGTTACGTCGATAGACTTCAGTATGAACCTTCAGCCACGATCATACAGAGCGAGATTACACAGCTTGAAATCTCAGACCACAGATGGAACATCTGGTTGAGTTCCAGAAACAGCTCGGTTTATATTCTTGGAATTAATTTTAAAAGGTTAGGATTTTTTACAATGTAAAAGGTTTCACAAAGTTTTTCCCAAAAGTTTACAACGTGCAATGTTAGTGGTATTTAACAACAGCAATGACTTTCATTTATGTTGTGTCCCTGACGTACAATAACGTCTCCGAGCGCTGTACATTTATGAGGTTGGATTCTCGCTGTATTAGCGGTTCTTTGACTGGCAACTGATGCTACGATATAGCACTGAACAAGCTTAAAAACAATACTCAATTTTCACAATGGCAATGAATCATTTTAGACATCCTGATGACCAAAGTGGGAACACAGAGGTACAATAATAAAAGGCTGAAAAACAGGCAATGCTAAGGCACATGGTGATCAGACATTTTCATGAAAGGGTGACTTTTGTTTATATAAAACAATGCAACCACTTTTATACTAGGAATTGTCTCTGGAGGAAAGCCTGCCTCAGGATCACCTTGCATTGTAAAGTCCCTAGTCACAGAACTGATTTTCTCAGCTCCTCTGTCACCTCCATGACGGTGGAAAATAACCAAGTCCGAGCAAGTGGGCTATAACGTATCTTGACGTCATCACAATGGGATTAAGGCACTCGCATGTGCACAAAACTGCCACTTTCTAGAATTGCTTTTGTGATCTCCGTCAGATGATAGTAGTGGAATCACGAAAGAAGTCAGCAACAAAGTCATCTAATTTCAGGGAGCACTGTCTGACAATCACCATTGTTATGAGGCTAACGACGAAGAAAGAAAATTCCAACCACAGCTAAAGCCTTGAATTACTATTGTAACAGTCATAGGACGACGTCAAGACATCAGCACGTGGACAGAATGGTCAGTTTCTGCAGGCAGTCCCCAGGAGCTCCAGAAGGCTTCGAAACATGTAGCGCTGGAGTACAATATCGCACTTATTTGTGGAACCAATACACTGCTCTGGTACAGCTCTTACAGAGGTCAGGGATTTTGAATCCGCAGGGAAAGTAAAGAGAAGGGAAGTTGTTCACAGCTCGACTGGTATATTTCTCCGATGATGCTTCTGGGCAGCAATGTTGACAATCTTTGCTACCTGCTGTGCTGCCCAAGAGATGGATGGCCATTATTAAATACACATTTCAGCAATATGAGTAAATGCAATAAACCTCAGCTCTAATTATAAGTCAATTCATAAGTCATTATTGCTGCACTGAACATACACTAATCATACAAAATAGTAATCTTATTAATTTGGAATCCTGTGGTTAAAGCCTTTCCGGGGAGGGGGGTAATAATTCCTTTAAAACATGTGGTCACTCAATTCACGACTGTTTGTAGGACCCTGCGCTGCACAATTGGCTGCCGCGTTTCGCCCCCAAAATATACAGTCAATCCATTTTACAGTATAGTCGGTGAAGCACTTTGAGACGTCTCGAAGACGTGATAAGACTCTATATCAAATACAAGGATTATTATTTCTTTATAATGGGAAATTTCATTATAATGATGTACTGAAAATATTGGTATTAGTGGCAATTAGTGTCTGTTAATTGCCTTGTGGAACAATCAGAAACAAAATGAAGAAATCGAGTGATTTAGTGCAAGCAATTTACTGATATCTACAATTTAACAGCCAGCGAGAAGCACAGCCCATTTTAACTGCCTACAACCTGACTGAGATGTCGGTTTCTACCCAATGCTTCAAGAAGGTTTTCAATCTGACACGTCTGGCTCGACTATCGGGGAAGGTTGGTTTCCTCCCTACTCCCCAAATTAGGTTAATAATAATAATCCTTGCATTTGATAATTTGACATAGCGCTTTTCACGTCTTCTAGACGTCTCAAAGCGCTTCACAGAGTATGCTGTAAAGTGAATTGACTGTTTATTTGTGGGCGAAATGCGGCAGCCAATTGCGCACAGCAGTGTCCCACAAACAGTTGTGGATTGAAATGACCAATTTATTATTTTTTTTGAGAGATTATTATCAGGCATGTGGAGTAAGGAAACTTGCCCAAGGTTTCACCCTGCCGAGAATAGAAACCAGGTCTCTCAATTGCAAAGCGTGTGCTCTAATCACTGAGCTACAAAGACATCATCTGCATAGCCCAACCACTGGCTCAAGATTGCCACATGCAGCAGATAGGGAGTACATGTGGAAGAAGTCAATCGAGCAACTCGCAACCTTCCCTTTCATAAATCTGCAACAAACTAATCTAAACCTTGTGTCTTTGTCTGAAGAAGTCTCAGGAAAAATAAACGATTACCCACCACAGAAATCTAGAACCAGCTCGGATCTCATTGTGCACAATTTTTAAAAAATTTCCTCCCAAAAAAGATGCTCAAAAATCTGCCATGTGTGTTCCAGTGCCATCATGCATATCTCAATAGTTTGGTTTGACTGCTCCAACATAGATTGTACAGCACAGAAATAGGCCATTCAGCCCAGCTAGTCTGTGCCAGTGTTTATACTCCACATGGGTCATGGAAAAGAAGTGGGGAGAGATTTTTTTCCAGGGGCGGTAGGTGATAGAAGTTGGTTGAGTAAGGGAAAGGGGTACGGAGGTGTTAAGGGAGCTGAAGTGATGATCCGAGATGGCTTTATGGTGATGTCTGAGATGGTGAGGCCTTTCTGGTTATTTTAACAGGTTGAGGGAGTGAGCGTAGACGTGGGTGCCGGAGTGGATGTGGAGGGAGAGGTTGAGGGAGGAGAGGAGGGAGGAGAAGTCAGCAGAGGTAGAGCAGGAAGGGGTGAAGTTGCGGTTGATGTCGACTATGATTAGGAGACATTCAGAGCAGAGGGAAAGATTGGAGGGTGGAGATGTCAGGGAGTAAGATGGGGGAGGGCTTGGGAGGGGTGATAAAATAAGGAGAATTTTGAAGGAAAGATTGGAAGGGTGATATAGAGGGTAAGGTGCTCAAAGGAGGGGAAGGTTCCGGAGAGGTAAGGTAATAGGCCAAGAGGGGACCGGGAGATGAAAGCCACCCCGTCACCACGGCACTTATGTCGTGAGGTATGATGGAAGGTGTAGCCGGGTGGTGTGGCCTCTGTCAGGGGGAAGGTGTCGCCTGCAGTGACCCAGATTTTGGTGAAGGCGAGGATTTTGATATTCAACTTCAACAATGGAGAGTAAACTTTTTAACATCAGTAAGATAGTTTAGTAACCTGAGTCGGAAGTGGGGGAGGGGAAGAAACATTCAATGGCAGAAATGTTTTCTCTTCCAAAGCAGAAAAATCATTGCTGATTATTTTACTCTAAACTGCAATAGCAGCAACCAGTGGTGATGGTTCTTGTGTCTTTTTTAAAAAAAAGTCTATTAAAAACATAAAGGGAAATGAAAAAAAGTGCTGGAAAGTGGGATAAGTTTTAAAAAAGGGCAATTTAGAATAAGAGGAGACATTGGCACAGACATGTTGAGCTGAATAACTTGCTCCTGTATAGAAAATGTCTCTGTTTATATGATTTGTGTGTGTGAGTTTCTTCCTCTGCTGCTGGTACGCTCGGCTGTTAGAAGCTACAGAAGCTTAATCTTGCAAGAGCTTTTAATTTAAATCACAGAGCTAAAAATACTTCAAACCCTAACATTTACAGACTCATTATCGAGGCCAAACATTTCCACAAACAGGTCAGCACCTGGAGAGCAGTAGTGACTAGTGGGTATTTAATGACAGTCAAAATCAAGACTTCAGTCAAGGTTCAACACACTGTGCTCTGGTAGTCATGGGCTACTGATTCTCAACTGGTGACATTTTTCCACGAAGACAACTTTAATCATTAGTCTAATCGCTGCAAGAAAAACTCAGTGATAGTGATTGTTTAACTTGAACTTTTCTGCTGGCTTCAAGAAGTACAGCTTGCCAAGAAACAACAAATGCCAACTCATCACTTGTGTCCTGGAGACATTGAGAATTTTGGCACGCAAACAATCAACCTGAAAAGCAAACCGCTTTGCTCTGTCCCCATTACGGATGCACAGACAAGACGCACAGATTTAAATGCATTTATTCTCACAAACAACCAAGTGTAAAAGGAAGACGCACCTATTTGAATTTGGTTAAGATAGCGCCTACTTTATATTCAGCAAAAATATTTACCAATGAAAAATCATTATGGATTACTGTAATTTACGTACCAAGCAATATTTTACTTGGAGTTTATTATGCAATGAACTAAGATCATGAAAACATATTTCTAGTTAGTAAACAGTAGTAGAGCCAGGCAGTGTGGTCAATCATTAACAATGTTGTAAAATACTGCAGACCTAGGTCAGGTATTGTCACCAAGTCTACTATAGTGATACGACTCAGTTCTGTTCTCTTTCCACCAGCCTGCTTAAACCCAGAAATCCCCCTCCCCGTCCCTCCCAGAGCATCGGGGGAAATCTAGAAACCGGTCACTTGCCATCTCTCCTGGCAGGTGTATGATGAATAGCATGATATATATATAGAGAGAGAGAGCGTTAAACAAATAACTGCTTTGCACAGTGAAACATCACGTCCTATCATTTGTTCCACTGTACGCTAACAATTTCACAGTCACTTGAAGCAAAGTGCTGATGTTTCATACTGGGTTCTATTAATCAATTGCAATAAGATAACCAGAATTCATAGTGTCTGACTTAATTTCCTAAGAGTGCATCTATTTTTCAGGATCAAACAGTTTCGATTATGCTGTAAGATTGATAAAAACCTGCTGCACACAGCTCTCTGCTGAATTTCTTGGGGAATCCTGAAGGTGGAAAGAAAATCCCTGCCCACTTCCAAATCACACAGTTGGAAATTCAAGTGAAGGAAAAGAATAAGCTGCTTACCATTCATGGCTGTGGGAATCTGAGCCATTGTGGTCCGGAGTGCGCCTTGCTAGCTATCAGCCATCTGCAACAAAAACATGTTCCATTAATAATGCATCAAGGACAGACGCCAGTTTACTGCCCTGCTGAGCAGAGAGAATGTCAGCTCTATCTAGCCTTTAGCTCACACTTCCGATAATGAACAATACATGGGTTCAGGGCTCTGCTGATGAAGCCGAATTCATCAACAAAAAGTTCACAGGATAGGCGGAGCAACTGGCAGGGTATTCCCAAAGAAAGTCCAGCAAACTTTGAGTTTAGTCTTGGAATAGCTCAAATCCCTGAAATGATTAGGGATGCACAACCCATCTCAGATACCCCCAGCAGGAAACCGAGATCATTATAACACAGCACAAAGAGCTTTGACTCAAAGATGTTAGTGAATGCTTCAGAATATGTTTGTTTGAAAAACAAGAACATAGTGCATACTGCTTTGAATGGAGTTTAGGAAACGATCAATAAAAATAGATTACTTGTATTTTTATGGCTCCTTATCAGTTGTGTAACATAACTAGTGTACACATTGTACTGGACACAAATACTATCAGATGCCCTACAACAACTTGCATTTACATAGCGCCATTCACCCAGGGTGGAATCTCACGCCTCCAGTGGTGGAGTCTGATGGCAAGCCGGGGAGAGATGACTGTAAGCAATGAAGAGGAAGGTTTTCAGGCATGATCTGAAGATGGAGGGGCTAAGATGGAGGGCTTGATCGAGAGTTTCAAAGTTTTGGGACCCAGTAGCTGAAAGTACAGCTGCCGATGGTGGAGAGGACGAGGGACAAGCAAGAGGCTGGAGGTGGCAGGTAGTGGAGTGTGGAGTAAGCAGGTCGGAAAGATAGAGTGCAACCAGGGAGTGAAGGAATTTGTAGATGTGTGAGGATTTTGAGGTCGATCTGTTCTATGATAGGGAACTAGTGGAGCCTGGTGAGGACTAGTGTGATGGTGGTACGGAGTTTAGAACAGGTGAGCATATGGGCGACTGTGTTTTGAATTAGTTGGATCTTGTGGATAGTGGAGCTGGGGAGGCCAGCAAGGACGGCATTGGAATAATCAAGGCGGGGAAGGTGACAAAAGTTTGGATGAGGGTTCTGGCTGCATTGGGTGTGAGGTACCAGGTCGGAGGTGGGCAATGTGATGGAGCTGGAGTAAAGCGTTCCTGGTCAGGGACTGGAAGTGGGGTAGGAAGGACAATAGGGGCAACAGATAAAAATGTAACTCAACATCCTCTCTCCCTTCCCCTTTTTGTATTTTAATGGAACTTGCTGTTGTTTCAATTACTTGAATGGAGGAAATACAGGAATTAACAGGATGCAGAGTTTATCCCAAGAGTGAAGACAAACCAGCATTCAACAGACGGAAAGTCACGAGTGGGCTAGATCCTGTCCAAATGTCACTGCAACCCAATGGTTAACTAGAACTTGGACAGGAGAAGTACATCCTGGTAAAACTACTGAATATGAATTCTCAGTAAAACTCCCTGTTCCCATTGTGCTCTACAGAATAGAGCAATGCTCTACCAATGCTGGCCAAAAGCTAAAGGTCAAAACCTAGTCATTCAGAATGAAAATCCCCAGTCATGCAGTCCAGGAAAGTTACTCTACGCTGTTAGCCGATATCAAGACAATATTGCAAATGGGATAGACCGATTATTGGTTTCAATTCTGCTATTTCTGAATCTCAGGATTTGGGGATTTTGATGCCCCAAATCTCAGGATCTAAAGGTGCTAAATCTTGCCTTGGAAAAACAGCAGGGAATTTGTCAAAGAGGATTGACGCAATACAAGATTACATTGTATCGCACCTTTCACATTGGGAGGACGTCCCAAGGCACTGCCAGCAACCTCTCTCCAAGCCAGTCAGCGACTCACCTCACTCCCCACCCACCTCAGCAAAACAGTGGCCTGACAACAACGGACTGACCAAGACAGGAAGGAAGTGCCACACACACACACGTGTAATATATACTATATATATATATCACACATATACATGTAGAGAGAGAAAAAAGGGTGACATAACACAAAAGGACTGAAGGACAGTTAGTGACACTGACTTTTTTTGGCCAGCCAGGTGACTGACACATGCGGAAACCCATCACCATGCTTAAGAGTATCCAAACCAAACTGAGATTTCCATGCATCCCACCTACACATGGAAATCCCAGAGATAGGTTATTGAAATGGAATGCGCACTCTCTCCCTGGAGGGACACATCCTGCTTACCTAATTCTAGAAAGTATTAGGCGTAGGTTCAGTTGCGACTGAATATAATTTGCCAAAAGTATATCTTTCAGACATCTAATATAAACACAGGGTAAGAAAACGCCAGTAAAATACAGGAGACTTTATCACCTTCATTGTTCTTCCAATACTTATTTTACACTCTTGCATATTCTAAGAAGCTATTGGATTTTTATAGTAGTTTATTATGACAAAACTCCTGAAAACACCTTACAGGTAATCGTTGTCAAGTGTAGTAACAGTTTTTGTTGGCAAATGCGGCAGTCATTCATGGCAACAAGGCCTCACAAACAATCATGAGGTAAATAAGCAATTACAACAACAACTTGCATTTATTTAGCGCCCTCCGCACCGGGTGGTGTCTCAGAGTGCATAACAATGGCGGAGCCTGAGGCCGAGCCAGGGGGAGGAGGAAGGTGACCAAAGACTCGGTCGAAGAGGAAGGTCTTCAGGCGCGACCTGAAGATGGGGAAGGAGGGGGCGAGGCAAAGGGGTTGAGAGAGGGAGTTCCAATTTAATCTAGAGTGTTGTGGCCAGGATTCCCGAAGAAACTCTGTTAATTTTTTGAACAGTATACATGGGGATTTTTAACATTGACTTGTACAGTAGTCAAGAATTTGATTTGCCTTCTATGAAAAACAACGCATCACAGCCTCTGTACTAGAGTGTTACGCCTTTCTCACCTCAAGGCTGGACTATGGGAACTCTCTCCTCGCCGGCCTTCCCGGCACTTCCCTCCACAAGCTGCAGGTCATTCAGAACTCTGCAGCTCGTGTACTGTCCCGCACCAGGCTTCGGGACCACATCACTCCCACCCTCGCTCGCCTCCACTGGTTCCCCATCCCCCAGAGGATTGATTTCAAGATCCTCATTCTCACCTACAAGGCCATTCACGGCCTTGCTCTGACCTACTATACCCCTACCTTCCTGCCCGTAGCCTCCGTTCCTCTGGCTCCGGTCTGCTCCACATCCCCCACTCCAACCGCCCTACCATCGGTGGCCGGGCCTTCAGTCTCTCAGCCCCGAGGCTCTGGAACTCTATCCCCCAGTGCCTTCGCCGCCTCCTCCCTTTCCTCCTTCAAGGCCGGTCTCAAGACCTTTCTCTTTGACTGTGCCTTCAGCTCCCCTCTCGACTCTCTACCCCCTCCTCGCTCCCTCCCTTCCCTCCCCTCACCCTGACCATTTCATCCCTGCTCTGGTCCTGACCAAACTGTACAGCGCCTTGGGACGTCCTCTCGACGTGAAAGGTGCTCTATAAATGGAATCTTGTTGTTGTTGAGACTGTAAGCTCAAGTCCCTGTGTGAGGCTTGATCCTACCCCGAGGTGAAAATCACTCATCACTATATGCCTTTTAAAAGGTGAGTTACATGGGACAAGCTTGAAGTCAATGGCTCCTCTTTATTCCCCAATTGAGCCAGGCTGACACCTCTTAACCAGTAAAAATAACTTTCCACTGCAGATTGTGGGCAGTGGATTTATTTGCCACAGGGAATTTTGCTGAGCAGGGCTACCAATATTTTACACAAACAGAAAGTTTTTGAATATCAAGCGTCACCTTTCTGAAAGCTACTTTCAACACACACGTGCACACACGTACACATGCGTGCACACGCGTACGCACACACGCATGCACAGAAATCTTTTGCTCTAGTAATAGTTTTTATAGCAAAATAGAGCAAAATGTAATGTTATTTCAAAATAAAACCATCAATTAGTTCTAATGGAAATCCCCAAATTCTGCACAGAGGAAGTCCTGAAACCTCAGTCAAGAAATTCAAAACAGAAAATTTTTCGCTTGAAACAGACCCTCAGAAAAAAAAACATTGTTTTACACCTTTTCCTGTGCTATGTCTGGGAAGCCAAGCAAAGACTCCTTATACAGCAAAGGTTTTGAGAATGCCAAGGTGCTTTTAGAAATATTACACAGGACAAATAGGTAGTATTGTAATCGTATATTTTCCTTTGCAATTTGGATGAAAGCACTTTTTCTGTGTCTGTAAAAGGCTGGAATTTGGACAGCTCAAGCAAGTTCCTTGTGGCACAAGCCCAAAGTACAGAATATCCCTTAATTTAATATGAACAGATATTCTCAGACTGAGGCCATAATAATAGTTGATGCGTAAAATGGGAGAAAACACCTTGTAAAATGGGTTGCCCTCAAAACCTGTCCAGCCTTTGCTCTGATAGTTTATCCTCATCAGCAGGCAAAAAAAAATCAGGAGATGTTTAAATATATTTCTGGAAAGAAGGGATTGTTCTCAACATTATAGACACTATATAAAATGTAAATGCAAGATATGGTGTGTAGGTGGATGGGGTTCACACCATTTGGCCTATTTGCATCTGTGGTTCTTAAGTTCTTATTTTGCACAATATCAGTCAATGATCTAACTATTAAAACTACATCAAGAATGCCTAACTGATTTGATTACCTTTCGGGTGAGGGAAGAAAAACTTCACCTCAAGTCAGCCTAATATGTTGTTTTCAGCACAAATACATTTAAATATGTTGTGTCCTTTTGAAGAATTGTTAAATACATGCAAATTAGAGAGGTTGTTCATATCAAATAGGATTTAGAACAGAAAGATATGAAACTGCACTAATGTATGAGGCATACATGATAGAGGGGTGTGGGCAGAGAGAGGTTCAGGTTGGTGGATCAGGATGGGTGGAGGCTAATGTGGTGGATAAACATCAGCATGGACTCATTGGGCTGAATAGTCTGTTTCAGTGCTGCATGTGCTGATTCTATGTAAATCTAAGAATAAAGCCGTGGCC